AAATTTCAGCTTCCCATTCAGAGCAAGAGTTTCTTGAACCAAAATCTTGCCCTGGGTTTCCTGATCTTAAGAACATAACTGATGGGAAGGGGTATTAGTAGATACGAGCATTCATATAAGAGGGCAAGTAAAATCCAGTTAGCATTTTCCCAAGGAAGTGCATTCCAAACACACTGCACTGAAAAAACTGTTTAGTCAATCACCATATATTCAGAAGATAACTATACATCTCCATGTATACCTACACAGAGAAATAAAGGTGAAAAGAATATATATCATACATATGAAACCTAAATGCCTTCATGAAGGATCAGTTTATTTAGCTTTACATCCAATAAAATTATTTTTTCCAGGGAAATTTGTTTGTTTGTTTCTGGAAATAATTTCAACTGATTTATTTCATATCTGCATTAAGAACAAGCATTCTCAATACAAACAAAATTTGGAAATTATTGAGGTATTGTTTTATACAGGTATGTACTAACCACAGAAGAGGCAGAGCAGGACAGTAAGTTCTCTGTGAAAGGCCAGTTAACCACACATCTTCTAATTAGGGTGCCTGAAGTGAAACACTTAAATATGTTGTCTTGCTCACACAGATCCTGCCAGGTTGCATTATCATTTATTTCTAGAAGAATCCAAACATATGTTAGCCCCCAAAGAGCAACCTGGCAGTGCTGAGGAGCCTCTTTGCTACATTAGACAATCCCAGGGAAAGGAAAAGCAGGGAACAGGGAAAAGGGACAAAGTGATAATGAAAAGATTAGCCTTTTATCAAGGGAGAGCTAGCGACTGACACTCCTGTGAGGATCGTCTGGTCATTTTTGACTACAGCAATGTCTCAGCTTGACAGCTCCATCCAGGCATCGCACCGGGAGCGTGAGTCGCCTCGGGCACCGAGATAATCTGAGAGCAATAGACAGAGTCTATTTAAACTGGTCCCAGCTCAAGAGCAGAGAGGTCCATGAATAAAGTCAGAGAAAACAAATGTAGATAAACACAGCTCGGGAAAGATTCTCTTGCAGAGCTAATGGATTTCACTCATGAAAAGCGGGATTAAAACAAAGTACTGTCTAGTCCCTGTTCTCTAGCGCAGTCAGTGGATTTTATGTTTTGGATATGCATTTCATGACAACTGATATTAGGTCCTCAACTGCACATGTTCGGTCTTGCATTAACTCGTGTGCTTCTATAGTATTATGTGTTTGATGATTTCCCAAGTGCTTTTCTTACTCAGAAACCCTTATGTTTAAAAGGCCTGTACTTATGGCACTCCAACATCACTTAAAGAAACAAGGGAACACCTGGCAAGCTTCCCCTAGAGTACTCTACCACTTCAGTCCTGTTTTTCCATTTGCCTTTTTTAAGATTGTTTATATCGCTTCAAGACTGGAGGAGATATTAAATATATTACAGAATTCCTTGCTTTCCTTGCTACATTATTTCCTATCTTATGTTCACTATTCTTAGTTTACCTTGATAAATCATCGTAATTTGAAAAAAAATTGTCAGGAGACACCAATCCCCAGACTCTCAAGGAAAGAAATAACAACCACTCTGAGTAATTAATATTATTCTCTGTTATCTTGTGAATACCAGTACATCAGAGTGTTAGCAGTAGCAAAGACTTGGGATTTGAAGGCAACAAGTAGTTCAGAAGAATTCACACATCCTCAAATGGTTCCTTAGACTGGTCAGCTCCACACTGACAGGTGTCTGACAGGTTATGTTGGACATTTAAAGTTTTGACTTCCTCTAATTTAACTTCTGCATTAGTAAAACCCTTAAAGCCCATGAGAGTTTACCTGTTTTCTTTTTAATATCCTTAAGAGTTCAGTCAAGTGTTGACTGTCATCAGAAGGTCTAGCAGTATACTTCTGTGGACTTTGTCTATAAAAATATTGGGAACTGTTAAAAAGCGTCTGCTATGGAAAACTCTTTGCAATGTTGGAAAATGTTATTTACATCTTACAAATGGTAATTATATTGCTTTTATGTTATAGCAACCGTGTTACTTTCACTCAAAGGTAAAGTCTTAAACCCAACGAAAAATCTGCATTATTAACTAGCAATTTGAGATTTGAATTGAACATAGGTGTTATTTTTATTTCACTATCCAGTTTCAAACTCACTTCAACCTCCAAAAGCAATTATAGTCCTGATGTGTCTGCAGCTATAGAAGGACTCTTTCAGATTGCCCTCACGGGCAAACTTGAACTGTTGTTGGCTCTGCTCTGCTGAAATGGGGCCTTATGTTTCTTTTTCTCCTAGAAGATTGGTATGGGTGGCTAAGAACTATACCGGTTCAGCTGCTATCTCACAACTTCAAAAACTAAATAAATGCTTTAGAAAGGCCTTGCACACAGGAAGGAGCAATGACATTTGTGAGAGGTGAACAAAATCTAGGACAGTTACATCACTTTTAAGTCTTCTTGAACATGTTGGTAGAAACATGCTATTTCTAAACACAGTTAAGATGGTCAATACAAACAAACAAAAAAGGGAATTCTGTGCAATGAGATATAAAACACTTGCACCTAGAATGTCTCCAGGATCTGTAGCAAATACCCTGGGGCAGGACACAGGGGTCTCTCTATGGAGATGCACTGGCTACTCAAGTGCATCACTGGCACAGCAGAGACAGTTCCAGGTAATGCTTCATTGCTCCTAAACGGATCAAGGATTGACCAAGTTCGTTAACATTTTAAAAGCTCCTGTGTATTTAATTAAAAAAAATAAGAAAAGTAATACATAAAACTTTAAAAATGCTATTGTAAAAGCTTACTATATAAAAACACTGCTTGCATTAAGGGGAATATTGAAAGACACCTCCACGGTTTTCTAGATAAAGCTTGATAAAAGCAGTGTTTGTGAAGAACACCCACAAAACAGAAAACTGTTTGAGGTTACTATACACACACACAATGTATATAGTGATCTGTCATTCACACCCCAATTTTGCTTGGGTTACATACATTGTTTACTGAACAAGGAGTCTTTGCATGAGGTCTCCACTATATGCCCTGTTTTAGCATAGCTGGACTTATCTGTTCATTTTCTCACCACAGATATTGTTTTACATTTGGCTAATATTTATAAGCAACAGTGCTGGCATGTGTACTACCTCCTGGTATTCTTCTGTGTTTTTGAATAAAGATTCCAGAAGATAAGAGTGCTAGAACTATCACAACTTTGCCCGAAAGACCTATTCCAGGACAGGACAAAAAATGTGGACTAAAACAACTAACAAAGTAGCCAGCCAGCATCTATCATCTCAGCTACCCCAGGAGACAGTCTATGGCAGTCACTTCAGGCCCAGAAAAATAAGCAGGATCAGAAAGCAAATATATTATCAAGTAGATATATTTTTTATTTCAGTTCAAGCTAATCTTTTCTTCCTTTTCATGTTCTCTTATATGTTTTGATTTATATTTCAGCTCTTTCTTCTGATTTTTTTGTCTCATTAAAGAAACAGAATAACTCTGAGCATGAAAAAAGCCTTCTCCTAGAACCTGTTTGCTCTGATGTAATGCAGCTACTGCTTAAAGTAATTTCTACCATAATACAGCAGAAACAAAGCCAATTTTGAAATACCAAATACCAATACCACCTGAAATACCAAGGTTATTAATGGTATATATCAAGGTAGATCAATAAAGGAATTAATTCCCAAGTGACAAAACAATAACTTTCCAGAAGCTTAATACATGATTCACGGAGACGAAGAATAATTCATACTGTAATGTTATGGGTTCAGTTTCATAGTATTCTTGATGAATATATGTGTGTATATATAGGACACATATATATAATGCAAACATATTTGTAAATTAAGGGAAGTATCGGACTGTAGTTATTAAAGTTGCTCACATTCAGTAATATCTACTTTACAGACTGCATGTATATCATTTAAGTGTTTTTTATTATTTAATAATAAAATAATTAAAATATAAACCAGTTAACTGCATGGGGCATGAACATTCGCACCGAAAAAGCCGAATAGCAACAAAAAACACCAACTGAAAAAATGATGTCCAAAGTTGTTTTCTGTGGTCAGGTTCACATTGGGTATTCTGGGAAAATTAAGATTTTAATGATGCCTGAAAACATAGAATTTATGTGAAGGAATGGTACCGATCAAATCAAAACACATATTAGCCACAGTATCTTTGACTCATCTAAGAAAAGTTGCTAGGTTTGCAAACTCTGCCCTGCCTCAGTTCAAGATGGCTCCAGACTGCAGAGCACACTGTGCTGCAGCCAAGAGCTCGGGTAATTCTTTGGGGATCAGAATTTCCCGGGATAGCTGTAAGGGTATAACTTGAAAGAAGGATGAGAACTCACTTTGTTCAGAAAGGAAAAAAAAAAAAAAAGAATTTGGAAATGGAATCACGAATGTGTTGATTGGAATTGAGGTGGACCATGCTGCAGAATAATGGGCAGCATGGTCTTCAGGCACTTCCTTGGGAAATGTGGGTTCAGATTCTCTTAGAGGAGACAATAAAACGGGAGATTTGAAGACAAATCAAAAATTAATTGCTGACACAGCCGTGCCCTGCAGAACAGTTGAGGACATCAATAATTGAGGAAGCGCAGCCAAAGGCACGCGCTGCCAGCGAGCCGCAGCACAGGAGCACTGGGACAGGAGCCTTCCACCACCCGGCCCTCAGGAGGCCTCTGCTAGGGCATGTGCAAGTTCTGAGGAACAATTTGGTAAGGAAGCAACCTGCTGTGCTATATGAGAGAGGTTACCTTTGAAACTGCAGTTCAAGTCACCTTCGTGAACCTGCAAGAGTGTTTACTTTCACAGTGTGGAAAACTCACCAGCTCTTGCTTTATATCAGCTCTGAAGGAGGAATAAACATTTATTTGCCTGCACAACATCTAGCAAGAGAGTCTAATGCACCAAACTCAAAACCAAATAGCACTCTTGCTAACACGTAGAAAATATACAGAGGTTTTAATACAATTTTCTTTCTCTGTATGTTTTTATTTTACAGGAGATTATGTAGTCATGTCTGTCTATTTTAACCTGAGCAGAAGGATGGGTTATTTCACTATTCAGACTTACATTCCCTGCACACTTATTGTTGTGTTGTCCTGGGTTTCCTTCTGGATAAACAAGGATGCCGTTCCAGCTAGGACATCACTGGGTGAGTTGTTGCATCTCCCTGCTTTTATTCAGGCCTCATGATGGAACTGACACCTCTGCAGACCACCAGTTGGTAAATGCAAGACATGTAGATTCACATAAGTTCTTCTTACTGCTCAGACTGAAGTATTTATTTCCAAGGTATAACACAACCTAAACACTATTTACATCTCTTTCTTCTTACTAGGTTGGATGCTAACTCTATATATTGTAAATTGTCTGCAATAAAAATTATTTTTCTTGCTGGTAATTTATGCATTTCTAGAAATCAAAAAGATGAAGTGAATTTCTGGGTTTAGGTCTAGGTACTTCTTGGTTTTATTAGTTCTATTTCCACATCATGGCAACCAGCCACACAAATGAAATCAATACCAGGAACAATTCTTTCAAACTATGTGACATAACGGCAGAGGGAACAGTACAGCACACTAGGTTCTACTTCAGGAATCATAGGCCAGATAATCTCCAGATCATTAAAAAAAAAAAAAAAAAAAAAAAACACACTCCACCAAATTTGATGAGTTATCTAAATTCCTGTACCATTCTGTCACACACGTGACATACAGCTAATCAGAATTATTAATTTCTATACAATTAGAAATTTTTCCACAAATTAACTAAAAGAACGACCAAGCTAAGTTTGCTTGCAGAAAGCAGCTGCAGCCATAAAGAATTGGCAGAGTAGATTCATGTGACTGCAACACTTAGGAACACTCGATTTTCTACTCCTACACTAAATGGATGTGATGATTTTAGTTTTTACTTCTGCATTTTCATTTCTCCACAAAACTACAATACAGAACAAGAGTGTGTAAAATGAGAAACAACATTCTCATTCCAGAGCTCCTTTACAAGGAACACAGGACTAGCGGTCTGCTGGTTCCCACAGCAGAGCATTTTGAGCATTTTCCTGCCCTTTTTCCCCACTCTTTTTCTAAAAAAAAAAAAAAAAAAAAAAAAAAATCTTATAGCAGAGTCAGAGGTTTGAAACCTGCCCTGTAGAACTGGGATGGACTTTAGCTGTTCTGATGTAGTGTTAATGCTCTTCATAGGAAAACAGCGGGCACCGTGTTGCGAGGGGAGAAGGGGCGCGAGGCGCAGAGCGGCCCTCCCCTGCACCCGAGAGCGCTGTCACTGCCCAGCAATCAAAAACAAAGGAAACTGATTCCAGTAGAGTGAAAGATTTAGGGAGACTGGGCCTGAGATTACACTGAAGAATAGTCTAAAATGCCAGATATATTTTTTAGACATATTTTTTTCTTATTTTCTTATTCTGAAACAACAACTCATCTTATTTCTCATTCTAAATTAAATCCCTAAAACAAAGGTCTCATAAAAACCAACTGAAAAACTAAACTCATTTCTTTGAGCCAAGATCCTTCTAAAGAGAGTGTCCTGCAAGGACAACCCTTGCATTGACCATGCAAAGGTGCTTCCTACTCCCTTATTCCTTGGGGCTCTCATTGAATCCCCAGAGCTCCAGGCTCAAATCCACTCAATGCGAGATAACTGACAAAATTACTTTTTCACCTGATACTTCTGTTGTTGTCTGTCTACATACCAGGTATCACAACTGTCCTGACAATGACCACCCTAAGTACAATTGCTCGCAAATCTCTTCCAAAAGTCTCCTACGTGACAGCAATGGATCTTTTTGTGTCAGTTTGCTTTATTTTTGTGTTCTCTGCACTGGTCGAGTATGGAACTTTGCACTACTTTGTCAGCAACAGAAAACCAAGCAAGGATAAAGACAAAAAGAAGAAAAACCCAGTATGTATATTTTTACCACCACAATATAAAACTTGGTTAGGTTTTATAAAAGATCATTTGAATCCCATTTTATGCTTATATTATTTTAGATTTTGCTACTATATGTATATTCTTATTAACTATTAATAGAAATGCAAACATTCACCTTGAGAGTGAGAAAGCTCATTTATTACAGTGCTCTGGATCTACAGAGACTGATTTCTTAGAACCAGAATCCTTCTAACTAAAGTATTGTGCAAATTCTATCACCTAAGTCAGTATTTATGTTGCAGACAGAGCTCTTGCTGTGACCTTCCTAGCAGAACTAGAACACTTTCTCTGTCTTGGCTTTGGTGATATTCTCTGCCTTTAACAGAATGTCTGTATTACTGACTTGATTCTTCTTATATTATCAAGTTAATCTTTTATATTCAAACTATGGCATGTAATTTTTCTAATTCCCCTTTAAGCATCTATTTCTTTCTCATTGTCTCCTTACCTTCTTTTTCTTGAATTTTCTCCCTCTTTTATCCATTTCTCTTCCCTAGAATGTGATTTGGTTAGCAGTTTGCAATATTATTTGTGGGTACATGGTACACAGTAACAGAAAACACCTATAATAGCCACAATAAAGAATCCTGGAAACAGTATCTATGGAAGCTGAGAGGTTTGCCTAGGCAGGGAAAAAAAGTTGCTGCCTACTTAGTCCAGGACAGACTTCTCTTTGCCTTTTGCAACTGAGCTGACAAGTCTGTTGTCTACAGTCCGTGGGTGGGATGAAAAGAACTAGGGTAAAATACTAAAGGGAATAACAAACAACAAACCCTTTCAAAAGCTAAATGTGCCGGTATAAAATGTGAAGGACATAAGTGCTTATATTTGTAGAGAGCGTTTTCACATCTATTTCAAGCACAAAGGAAACAAATACAAATGCGTGCATTCACCCCCCTAAAATCTTCAAGAACTTCTTATATTAGCAGAAAAGAACCAAAGCAGATAAATACATTAATTAGAGAACATTTTACTACATGCTATTTTTTATTTCATCTTTAAAAGACTGTTTAGAAGCACATTTAAAAAAAAAATAATAATAATGTGCTCTACAGTGGCTGAACAGCAACAAAATCAGCCATGAGTTCATAGCCAAAGAACTGACATCTAATTTTAGATATGTTAGAGTTGAAGTCATGGTCAATAGAAAGAAACAGGCATTTCTGGAGAGAGATTCATCCATCCCTTTGGGGGATGAGACAAATAGCTGTCTTTGAGCACCTCTGTCTTTCACTAGCAGGAAAAGGATAATTATTTCTAGTTTTGATGTCCTACCTAGAGATGTCCATATTAGCATAGGTTAATTGTACTTTTTTAGCTGTGAAATTCTGGGGACAAGCAGAAGTCTAAATAATGGCCTGGTTCCTAAATGCAGAGTCTAGACTACTTAATAGTAGAGCATTAAAGCCTATCTACAGAAAAAAAGAATATCATTTTAAATGTGTGTTTATGAAATGTGAATGGTCTCCTCTTTCAAAACAGTCCAGCATAAAAGACTGGAATACCCAGAGAATATGACGAGATCTAAAATAAGTTTTATATCTTACACTTTTTTCCCCAAATGTAGCTACAAATAGAGTGAGAAGACAAAAATGTGTTTTCATATTATAGATACTTGTGTAAATTGGTATTACCCCACCCTTTCTATAAATTTAGACCTTTTAGATTACTATGCTTTAGAAACATATTTTTAATTTACATTATTTTTGTCTCTTTCTTTCCTTTCTTTAATTTAAAAAACCCAAAAACCTCTGATTCTCTTTTCTGTCTACAAAATGAAAGCTTCTTCGGATGTTTTCCTTCAAGGTATAATGTTTTTTGGAATGGAAATTCACTGCATGCGACTGCTGAATTTAACTATTAGAGCTTTTATATAAGAGTGTTGTTGTTGTTTTGGTTTTGTTCTTTTAAAATTAGTATTAGCTTAACCATTCTACTCAAGGTAAACACCTAATTAAGCAGAATGGTTACCTATTTCAGAAGAGTGTGTAGAGTTGATTCAGCAGCCCAAATATTGATTCACTATGGTTTTGAACTTAGCCTAAGTTCAAGTGACCAACATTATTGGATCTCATGAATTAAGAGAGTTTAATATGCTCAAAATATTTGTTTCTCTTCCTCAATTGCCCATGGGATCCAATACCACCAGCTACACCAGAAACCTGCAAAACACCCTTTTAGAACTCATCTCTAAGCTCTCTTCTAAAGCTTATTTTATTTTAAATTACAAAATCTAATTTATTCCGATGTTGACCTGAACAGAACTCAATACCACCTCAAATGCTGTTGCTTATGCAAGAGTAAGAGTTTTGAAAGGGTTTAAGATGCCTGCATTTTTAATGCTGTCACTAGATCGGCACACCGTTAACAAATTAAAAAATATATCTAATACATCTGAATCTTATCTTCATTCAGAAATGCATAGATTTTGTTCTAAACCTATTAAAAATAACAGGTTTCCATACTCCCGAGATGGAGTTATTTTACTCTAATAAACAGCAGTCAGAAATTCTGAGGCCTGTCTTCCTGTCATCCCAGTGTTCACCATGTGCTCAAATGAGTTTTAAATTCTTTATTTGCCCAATTCATTCCAAACCTATATATGTGCAGTTACCATAACCTGATGCAACCAGCTAGCTGGTGAACAGTAGTAGATGCTGATCTACATATATTCACACAACCTACTGGTTGTGAGACTCTACTAACGTACTTTAAAAGACCTGGCTGTTGCCTTTTTTTCTTGTATATAGTATTCACTCCTGTTTCAGCATGAGCCAGTCTTATATTAAAGAAAATTGTGCATTTCCAATTATTATTTCAGTTCCTTCCATGTGCAACACCCAGATTGCCTTCATGTATCAAGCAGCTACGTAAATTATAAAACATAAAAGCAATTCAGTTGCATTCCTGAATGTTTCCTTTAACTGGAGGCAATTGTCCACAGTTAACTTTAGATGGATTTATGCTGCTGATCTCTAAAGTTAAAGTGTTTGATGCAACAGATAGGAGCAAGCCCAAGCTAGTATTGCCATTAGACACCCTTAGCAATTTGCCGTATTCCCCATGCAGCACCATCATTCCCATGTTGACCATTAGTTTCTACTTTCCTGGTGGTCTGGTGATAACAACCTTGTCCTTCCCTCCCGCATCTTCTCCTTTTTCTGTCACTGCCCCTTAGGCCCCCACAATTGACATCCGGCCTCGATCAGCTACTATTCAAATGAACAATGCTACACACCTCCAAGAACGGGATGAAGAATACGGGTACGAGTGTCTCGATGGCAAGGACTGTGCCAGTTTTTTCTGCTGCTTTGAGGATTGCAGAACAGGCGCCTGGAGGCATGGCAGAATACACATCCGCATCGCCAAAATGGACTCCTACGCCCGCATCTTCTTCCCTACGGCCTTCTGCTTGTTTAACCTGGTGTATTGGGTATCATATCTTTACCTTTAAAAGCAGAATGAGATCAGTGATACGAGCCTTACTCACTGAATTTCTTAGAGAGATGGTTTCCTTTCTAAGTCCACTTGAAGTATTTATGATGCGCTTTATAGTGGTCTGAATTCTTTAGTGCCATAACCCGGTAAGTATTGATCACACCATTTGTCCAGAAACTGCCATCAGGTTATTGTGAATTAAATGTCCATTCAACATGTTGAAATAATTTGAAATCAAAGTCATGGAAACAGGTTATACAGAGCTATACCTGTTGGAACAGACAAGCAGAGCAGACAGGGCAAGGGGAGCACAGCAACGTTACCTAGAAGGTGGTACTGCCATTCCAAACATGAGCGACCAAGGCTGGCATTCCCAGGTAAAGTACTGTACAGTTTGTTAACATTGGCTATAATTACGCTATAGCTTTATTCTCTGTGGGCTTTTCTTTTTGGAAGAGTCATCTCTCACTTTGAATAGGTATTATTAGCTAGGAAAATAACTTCTACCCCCACCCAGATAAAAATAGACCTCTACCTTTGCCATCCCTTTAAGAGCACATGTACAATGCTGTAAATATTTCAATACCTTATAGTACATAAAGTCTAGTGCATGCATTTTTGGGGGCCAAAATAAATGAAACAAAGGTACCATAATGTCTTTTATTTTGTGTCTCTGGATGTGCTATTGTAACTGAAATGTGGATAAAAAAATTCATATTTTTTTTTCCTTGAAAAAATATCCTCTTCCCTCATGCATGGAAGATCCAAGCAGACAGCACTTTCATGTAATACATTAGAGAAGCCTTAAGGATTCAAATAAATAACACGTAGACAAACCTGTATGGTCAATATAATAGTTTATTAAGTATGCTGTATGTGTCCACTGCTGTTGTAGCCTTCATTTTCCATTGATAATGTTGCTTATATTTTAACTGAATTTCCAATAATTATGCATTGCAAGATCAGCTACAAAAACTAATCCACGTGCTTCTCTCGTTCTTCTCCCATGAGCTTTGCTATTTTTCTCACACTTTCTTCTAGACATTACTTTTATATACAAACTCCAAGTTCATTTTGAGGCACTGAACTTTCATCCTGTGTACATGTACAATTCAGTGCCCGTTCGTTTCCTTGATCAGCAAGTGTCGTTGTCAGTGCTGCTTTTCACTCTGTGAGTACCTTTACTAAAACCAACCCATATCATGGCTAGCACACAGTTTATAGATAACCTTGAAAACTAAAGGGAACAGAGGGCATCTTGGCTACTAAATCATATGTATGCAGTTTGTGTGTATTTAAAACCTTCAGCCCATCTGGGTGAATCTTGAAATCCACTTATCCACTGGTTTTCAGAACCTGTACGATGCTCAATTATGCAACCTTAAGCACATGTAAATATTACTGACTTTTTTATTTTACAAGATGTAAAATGTCACCTTCAAGAAAGCAGGCTTGCAGACTGCAATGAGAGATAAATAACTTCTCATTACAGAATTATTAATAGCTAAAATAGAGGAAAAGGAAAAATTTCCAATGTTTGTATAGTTTTGGAAATAATGTATAAAAAGGTTAACTCTTAATCATCAATTGCTCCTTGTCCAATGTATTTGAGAACCTTTTAATAAAGGAATTGCACACACCTGTGGACTTTTTCAATAAAACTGCTGCACTCAATTGCACAGTCTTCTTGTGGTTAGTTTGTTAAAGGCTGCTTCAAAGGACCAGACTCATCTCTAATTCATCAGCTGCCTAAGTCTAAGTGATTATCATCATCATAATACTCTGCATTGCCTCATTTTGTAGTCAAATGGCCCACTCACACAACCTTCAAGGTTGGGGTCTAAATCTTTAAAATCACCTTGAAGCCTACTCTGTTCTTCAAAACACCACTGCAATGGAAGTATCCTGATAGAGAGGGATTACTTTTGCTGCTCTGCTTACAACACCTAGTGTCTCCACTCCCTGAACGAGTGTCCATTCCCTTTCACAAGAAAACGGGTTTCAGCCACTGCCAGACAGATCATTGAGCAATCAATTTCTGCAGCTGTCAGTGATTTAACAGCTTTCTATTAGTTCATTCCAGTTAACAAGAGTAGCTGATGACATACATTTAAATTATTTTCACCTGGAACTTCCACATATTATCAAATAGGCCTTAGGCAGAACATTATGAGTTTCTCCCTAAATCAAGACTCTAAGTCCCTTAGACAGACGGTATTGCAATCAACATACATAGATTTTTTTTTTCTGTCAAGGTCTGAGCAGTTCAGAGTTCAGTCACTCTTTCTCCCGAGTTCAGTCATCTCATGCTTCTACAAAGCCCTCTGCCCTGAAGAGTAAGACACAACAATGAAGTGCAAATTATTAGGAATACGAGATCATATTATTCACTTGTGCAACCTGGCCACCTCCTTCCAGCAAGGGATGGCTCCCATGAACTTCAAGAATATATCCCCCATCAATAGCACAAAGTGCACAAAAACAGAGAGTAAACCAAACCTGAAGTTAAAAGCTGCATGTCCTTCCTCCACTACCTCCCAGCAAACAGAGAAAAGGAAACAGACCCTTCATCAGCCATGATCCAACACTTGGGATCCGCCAGCCTTATCTAGCAGATTTGTCTCTTACTCCTGGGGAAGACTAACTGGATTCAACAGCACCGTTCTTGCAGAAACCTGTAATTCCTGTTGAGAAAGCGACATCAAAGCCCGGTCTGGTGCTGACTGTGCAAAAGTGTTCTCCAAACAGGGACTAGGCCAGCTATTCAGCACATAATCAAAAGTCGACCTCTGTATTGTAAACTTACACTGCCATCACAGCAAGCAAAGCAGCAAGTGAAATGGCATTTGAGTATGATAAAGGTTATTTCGCTCCCAGAAGAAAACTGCTGAGAAGTGATTTTACATAGAGACACACAGTGTAACATACACACACACACACACAAAATATTAATCACTGCCCAGCTTAATTCTAGGGGGAAAAAGTCCTCCTGGTGCTAAAATGTTTTTGTGGTCACCATTGCACAGGCTGCTACTCCTGCCCTGGGACACGTCTGTGAGCTTGGTGTCCAGTGCCCAGAAACAGCTCAAGCCTTCACAGGCTCTCTGCGCTCCAGGAGCAGGTAGATGCCTCTGTTGAGGCAAGGTATTGCTGTCTCAGGGATTATGTTCAACATATCAGAGAAAGCCCTCAAATCACATACAAATCTTAATTTATTTTGTAAACTAAGAGATAGAACACAAGAGAGCTCACGTGACTTAACAACATGCTGTCCTGTTGCCAACGTTAGGCACCGATGCAAGACAGCATGTGTTTTAACTGGTTAGTCTTGAATGATTTGAACCTCCAAGGTTCACACTGAAGCCTCCTAAAGGTGCAGTTCTCACCATGGATGATACACACACACACACACACACGTGTGAACGAACGCCAAAGCCAGTGACTTTTTTCACGTGCCCACTCATCTTGGATTCTGCATTTCTACCTCATTGTGCACACAGATAAATCCAGGCTCCAGCTTCTCTATAAAACCAAGCCCAGCCTGGTCACGTTTTATCTTGTGTGCAGCCTCTGGCCTCGCTTGGCCCTCGCAGCTGTAAGGAAGGGGCAGGAGGAGGTGCACAAACTGCAGCCGTAGCTGGAGCCCGTGCAAGCACTGCAGGGATCACTGCTTTCCCGAGCTCTCTGTTATCCTCGTTTTCCACAGCAGCACAAAGGCAGCAGCCACACAGGCTCCACTGCACTGCTCAAGGACATACTTCAACATTCCACGCATTTTTACAAGAGATGGAAAATATTTTTCACCCTGACCCTTGTAGGATTTCCATTTTCAACAGGAGCTAAGCAGTGTCTGTCCCTCAAACATGACTGTACAGGTCAAACACACTATGTGCATCAGCTACATCAGCTAAAGCAGCAAATATTTGAGATACAGGAGACACCAGATCCCTTCACTGTGAACAGAGTCCCATTAAACTTCACAAACACAGCCAACATCTCCTCCCTTCTGTGCCCAAAAGTCATTCAGTCTAAAAACATGAATAAAAAAAGAAAAAAAAAGTTATAAAATATTCAGTACTTTAGAACGCTGACCAAGCAGACTTTGTTAGCTGAAAAAATTCCAGTACATAACAGTACTATACATGGAACTATAGGTTGAATGGAAGTAATAGTAGAAAAGTAAAAAGTAGTTCTAGATTATCTACTGTGTTTGGTAGGATCACAGGAGAGAGGAGCTATAAATTGAGATTTGAAAAAGGATAAGGTAGGATGTTCAGCAAGTTGTTCCACATGCAATGGGCATGGTAGATGGGCAATAAAAGAAAGACATGACGATGGCAAAAGCTGAAGTCAATACTGAGCTCATCTGCTTTATCTACCTGCAAAGGATCAAGTCAGAGAACCAACGCAAGAATTAGGTACTAGGAAAAGGAAGAGACTAAAGAGGCAGCCCAGAGCAAGACACTGAGAGGAGGAGCAGAGAGGCAGGACAGTCACCAGCAGAAACATCAACCGTCTGGGCAGAGATCATGAACACTCATGGGTCTCTTCTGATGCGACTAGAGCACCAGTAGGGTTTAGACCTCACCTGCACACAGAGAACAAGAATTTTGTGATGCTGTAGCAGAGTATGAATGTTGCTTAGAAATGAAGAGCTGGGTTTAAGGTAAGAACCTAGTGAAAAATAATCCCTATTCATGGTCCTCTGCAACTAGAAGGTTGAAGCCTACTGTAAAATAGGCTAAGGGCTAGAAGGCAGAATTCAACTCTAAGCATCAACGTAGAAAGCAAAATGCAAATAAAGAGGTTCCGTCTGGATGAAACTTAATTAAAGCCTGGGGGAAAAGTGATATTTTAAGATGCAAGTGTTGTCTTTCATAAAAAATTTCAATTGCTTTGCAAAGAGAATTTAATTAAATCTTATGAAAAACTTCATAGGTAAATCAGTTTATTATACCCATGATAGAACTATTGTTCCATTTATAAAAATGAAAAGCCTATGCACTTTCCTTCCTTATTTAGAACAATCCTGCAGATGAAAATATCTGAACTTCCTAGTCATAAATTACCGTGTTTTTTTTTTTTTCCTTTTCTTTTAAAGTCAAGATTTACAATGAAAAATGTATCCTTTTAACAGGTAGAAAAAAAGTTCATGACCTTTAAAGGATCTGAGGTACCAGGCAAGAACTAAAAGCTTTGCTTATAAACCAGCATTCCTCCTTGAATAATGCATTC